TGTTATGCAGGTTCAAAATGCTTTGGATGTTTTGATGTGCAAGATGTTTCCCTCCACATTACGCGACAACGCTCGCACTTGCTACTATAGTTTACGGCCAAACTCAATCAGCTCATATGCCAAGTTGGCAGCATCTTCTGCCACCAAGTTGTCAAGTTGAAGGTAGATAAGAAAAACAACATCCAAGCTCATGCGGGTAATCCAAAGGGAAGGCGAGTCTCTGAAGAACTATATGAACAGATCAATGACACTATGTTAGAGATAAGCTCATTCAATTAAGCTATGGGAATAGCTGCCATAATCTAAGGCCTTAGACATGAGACATTCTGAGACAACCTAATAAAGCATCCACCCACCACATTTAATGAGGTCAATGAGAGATCTTGTAAGTTATCACAGTTAAAGAGTATGCTTTATCTAGTAAGCCCACACTTGGAAAGGAAGTCAGAAGTCCAACGTGGAGGGAAGAAGGGTAGAATCGTGGTTCACTTCCTACCCCCAAAACTGATAAGCCTAACCTAAGCACCTCACAGACCGTAACCAAACAAACCACTTGGACCACATTCACGTTGCCAAGGTCTTAAATTCTAATGCAGATTAATAATAAGATGGAGCTTAGAAGGCCTCCACCAATGCGAAGTCTGCCTACTTTTAGAGATCATAATAAATATTGTGACTTCCACCAGGATCATGGCCACCACAAAAGAATGTAACAGTTTGAAGTCCAAGCTTGAAAACTTAGCTCGCAAAGGGATATTGAATGAGTACATCTCAAACAAATCAGTTCAAGTTTGTGTGAGAATAGGGACAAGAGTCTCAAAGACCTCGAAATGCAAACAATAAAACTAAAGTCGGTTATCAACAAGCCCCACCTCCACTTCCTATGCCAGCAAGAATCATTCACATGATAAATGGAGGGCTTGAAGCAGGAGGCACAAACTCTAAGTAACAAAAGTTGTATGTTAAGGAGGTTAAGCACTAGAATCGAGTTCAGAAAAGGAAGTTTGAGGATGTAGATTGGAAGAATAAACTTATAACATTCACGCCTGCTGACCTTGATGGTGTTACACCATATAATGACCCGTTTGTCACCTCGGTCATCATCAATAAATGTGAAGTTTGGTGTGTCCTTGTTGACACTGAAAGTGCTCCTAATATTATGTATTAATACTGTTTTGAAAGCCAAAGCCAAAACCTTAGCCTTAACCTTGCTTTACTACAAAAGTATGATGGCCCTATCTATGAGTTCAACAATCAGCCAATCCTTGTGGAAGGGTTGCTAAGGCTCAATGTGGCTTTGGCTCAAGTCGAACACATGTAACCTCTTCAAATTAGTTCTTAATTGTGAAGATGGGTTCTTAATTGTGAAGATGGCTTCATCTTTCAACATCATCATCGGGAGGCCTACCCTAATTGAATTTTGAGCTGTTATCTAACAATCTCACCTATGCATGAAATTTCCTACACCCATGGAAGTGGTGACTTTGAAAGGCAACTAAGAAATAACCAGGCATTGCTACATGACTTTTGTCACCCGACCTTGGAAGGAATCAAAGCTACCACAACCAACTCAACCAAAAGTCCCAAATGACTAACAAGTGATGGGTGTGGAATTGCCAAACAACCAACTTGACTATGAGGCTAAGGCTACCCTAGTTGAAGAAGTGCAATAAGTGCAAATTGATGATAGTGATCCCACCAAGAAGACATATATTGGAACAAAATTGAACTCAAAAGAGAGGGAAGAACTCATATGCTTCTTGAAGGCGAACAAGGATGTGTTTATGTAGATCTCGATTTACATGCCCGAAATTCCAATTTCAGTTGTAGTATACAAGCTAAGCACCAATCCCTTGAGACGCCTGTTTTAAGGGGGGAGGTTGTAGGCCATCAAGGAAGAGGTACAAAAGCTCTTGCAAGTAGGGTTTGTGAGAAGAGTAGGGTCACTAATCCTGTTTTAGTGAGGAAGTCAAATGGCAAGTGGAGAATGTGCATCGACCACACCAATCTTAATGATGCTTGCCCGAATGATTGCTACCCCATGCCAAGTATAGATAACCTAGTAAAAGTTGCATCCGAAAATGAAAGACTCAATCTGTTGGCTGCTTACTTGGGGTACCATCAGGTTCACATGGCACCTGAGAATGAGGTGAAGACCTCTTTATATGATGGGGATGAGATGTACTGTTATGTAATGATGCCTTTTAGGCTCAAGAATGTAAGGGTTATGTACCAAAAAATGGTAACAATTGTATTCTGAACTTAGATTGACAAGAATTTAGAAGTTTACATAGATGACGTAGTAGTTAAAAGCATCAAAGTTGAAGATCATTTGATTGACCTGGCCGAGATATTTGGCACTCTAAGGAAGAATAGCATGAGGTTGAACCCTACGAAGTGTGTTTTCGGTTGAATCTAGAAAATTCCTAGGATTCATGGTTTCTCATAGAGGGATAAAAGTTAATCTTGAAAAGGTAAAGTTAATAAAAGAAATGAGGCCACCGAAGTCAATCAAGGATGTATAGCACCTAACTGGATGAGTTGCAGCTCTCCACAGCTTCATCTCAAAGTCAACAAACAAATGCCTCCTTTCTCTAAAGTCTTAAGGTCCATGGGTCAGAAAGACGAAGCAAGAAAGCCCAAGAGATTCAAATGGACTTCAAAATGTCAAGCAGCCTTTGATGAGCTCAGGCATATCTCAGCTCTTTACCTCTGCTGACCAAGGCTGAATAGGGTGAGATTCTTTACCTCTACCTTAAAGTATGTAATATGGTAGTAAGTTATGTTTTGGTTAGAGAAGTCGGAAAACAACAAAAACTAATGTATTATGCAAGCAAGGTGTTATAGAGAGCCAAGCAAAGGTACTCTATAGTGGAAAAGGCAACTTTGTCGGTTGTTACCACATCTAGAAAATTGAGGCCATATTTCCAATCCAATTTAATTGTTGTGTTGACTGACCAGCCTTTACGACAAATCTTGCAGAAGCCAGTGCTCTGGCCAGCTTATCAAATGGGCAATAGACTTAGGAGAGTTCCAGATCATGTTTCAATAAAGAACTACATTTCGAGCTCAGGCTTTAGAAGACTTTATAATGGAATGCATTTCTAATTAGATGAACTTAGGTGCTGAAGTTTATGTTGATGGGTCATCTAACAACAAAGGATCAAGAGCTAAGGCAATGTTGATTGGCCCTGACGGATTTCAAAGTGACCATGCATTGAAGTGCAATTTTGAAGCAACAACTAACATGGTCGAATATGAAGCATTACTTATAAGACTCCGTTTAGCAGTCGAGCTCAAGGTTAGGTCTCTACAGGTTTATAATGATTCTCAGCTCGTGGTCAATCAGGTGAACTTGAACTTTACGTGCGAAGTGACAAACCCTACGCTCGTGAAGTATGTGGCAATGACTTCCTAACTAAATAGCCCATTTGAGACATTCTAGCTCACCAAGATCTCCAAATCGAAGCATGAACAAGCAGACTTCCTATCAAAGTTGGCCTTTGATAGCTCTAATGGGACGAAGTCAATTTATGTTAAGATCCTCAATGAACCAAGTTTCTAAAAGCCAAGGGTAATGAAGATCAATACTGACCCATAAAATCCAAGCTGGACAGATCACATCCGAGCATACCTTCGAGATGGTACTATTCCAGATGATAGGAAAGAGGAGATGAAGCCGAGAAGGAAGGCATCTTGGTACACGCTCATTAACGATGTCCTATATAAGAGGTCATATTCTCTCCCTCTCCTTCACTGTTGACGTCGTACGAAGCTGAGTGCGCCTTATGAGAACTACACGAAGGGGTTTGTGAAAGTCATGTGAGAGCTCGAACTTTGGCTTTTAAGGTACTTCAACAGGGGTATTATTTTCCTAATAAGTAGAAAGATGCAAAGCAGTTTGTACAAAGGTGTCACAAATGCCAATTCTTTGTTCACTTTACTCACTAGCTCACCAATTTGGTTGCTCCATGGCCTTTTGCACAATGGGGCATAGATCTCTTAAGACCTTTTGTCAAAGGAGTAGGGGGAGTCATGCATTTAGTTGTTGCTATCGACTATTTTACTAAGTGGGTGGAAGCTGGACCCCTTTCCAGCCTAACCTTGAAACGGATTAAAGATTTTCCATTTAGCTCAATAATATGCAATTATGGGATACCCAATGAGATTATTGCTGATAATGGACCTCAGTTTAATTGTAATGCCTTTAAGGATTTTTGCTTTAGCTATAGGATCAAATTGGTTTTTACTTCAATTTATCATCCGGAGGCCAATGGGATGATTGAATTCGTTAATAAGGCTATCCTGGAAGGGATTAAATCGAGGTTGGATCAACTTAAAGCTAAGTGGGTAAACAAGCTCAACAATCTCCTCTAGGCCTACCAAACCACGAACAATTACAAGTACACACTTTTCCTAACTTTTATTTTCACTGCTTTATTTGAACTCATGAGTAAGAGCATGAAGTAAGCTTTTAAAATACAATTCTTTTAATTAGGCGAAACGCCATTTCACTTGGCTTTTGGGACCGAGGCAATCATTCTTGTTGAAATCGAGTACCGAGTCTAAGAGTTAGTCATTTTGCCACAATGCGAAACAAGCATTTGCTTAGGAAAAACCTTGACTTATTAGCCGAAATCCATGAGAAAGCTCAAATTCGAACACTAGCATATAAATAGAAATTAGTCAGCTTTAACAATAAACAAATCCAACCTTGCAACCTCAAGATTGGTGACCTTGTCCTCAGAAAAGCAAGACTCATTGGCTTCAAAACTCGCCTAGGCAAATTAACGCAAAACTGTGAAGGACCCTATGTAATAATCAAGGTACCTCACCCTTGTGCTTATATACTTCAAGACACTAAGGGTAAGAGGGTTCCTAGAGTATGGAATGTGAATAACTTGAAGAAGTTTTACCCTTAATAAGTCTTTATCTTATCACTCGTTTGTCAACGTTGGCAATCTCACTTTAATTTTTAAAGCCGAGGTTAGACTTGCTTTACTTCAGTTTCAGTTTTACTTCTAAAGTAAGAGGCCATATATTCCAATATTAAAAACATAAAAACGAAACCAATTTTTCAAATTAAAAATGTGTTGATTCAAAGTACATTACAAATGTTTTCACTTTATAATTACGAAAAACTGAAAATGAGCTGTTCGAGCTTAGTTAATTACTTGGTGCTGCTGGTCCACTTCTTCATTTTGTGTGTTATCCACCACCTCGGCATCTTTGGGCACCTCAGCTTCCTTTTCATCAACCGCCACGAACTCAAACTCTAGCTTCAGTGGAAGGATAGTCTTCCTAGCTTCGTCTCGTTCCAACTTCAGTGTTATTTCAGGTCGAAACTCGGCTGCTTTATTATCCCCATTCTCCTTCACTCTTGCCTCCTTAGAACCAAACGTGATATTAGTCACATCCACCTCAGAGTTCTGGGCCTTCACTTTCTTCCAACAATCAATGAAGGCCATCACCAACGTTGGCAAGTGGTAGAGGTCCACCACTTCGAAGAACGTTGTAGATCTAATGAAGTCTGAGACGTGCTACTCTACCGCGTTGTGGATAGCCAACACAACCTTCTTCTTCATGTCGGCTAGCTTGTTCTCCCTTGTGGCTAGCTTTTCTTCACATTTCTTCCTCTTTTTCTCCTCCAACTCAGCAGCCTTTTTGGCAATGGCCAACTCCTCCCTGACTTTCTCCAACTCAGAGGTTAGATCATTGAGTTCTGCTCAACCGCCTCCCTTTGCTGACTGAGCTCGTCATTCTTGCTAACCAAGGTAATTCGCTCCTAAAGGCAGTTGAGTTTTCAACTACCAGCATTCACCAAATTTGTTGTCTATAAAAAGGGCAAAAGTAAAAAAAAAAAAAAAAAAAGGAGAAAAAGTAGAAGATGAAGAAGAAAAAGAAGAATAAAAATGAACAAAATGCAATCCCAAGCTTTTACCTCCAAAGCATGCCGAATCACACTAGCTCCTCCAATGGTGTTCAGCTCTTCATTAGCCTTTTGCAGATCCACCTCTAGGAAGGTGGAGTCGATGAAACGCTTCGCAATGGTCTTGCCAGAGTTAAAGAAGCTGGACTTCTGCCTCAAAAAAGGAACAAAGCTTTTCCCCTTCCTATGTGTAACAATTCCAACCTCTCGCAGAGCTAGATCTATTTGCACAGATAAGGGCTAAGGAATGAACTCAATAGGGCCTTAGGCTAAGGCTTTGCCATCTCCTATGTCTTCCCTCTTTTTTGGGTTGCAGCCTCTTCCTTAACCCTCTTTCTTCTTAGCTCCGAGCTAGGCCCTATTTTAGCTTAGACCTCTTCAACAGCTTGGAGAGGCCTTCAACTCTCCCCTCCCACCCTCTCATCCACTGTCGCTGTAGGAGTCTTAGTCCTCTTCTTCAATACCTTAAGCTCTTACCTCCAACCTCAATCAGTTGATTTCTTTTGCAAAGCAAAACGTAGTTAAAATTGCCATCAGACCTACTATCTTAAAAAGCAATTTCAGTTCAATTAAGACACCTCTACTCAACGAGCTTTTCCCATAGATTCCAGTCATCATTATCACTTCAAGTCTAGTTAGATACATTATCTCCACCACCTTTTCCCCACTCCTCTCCAATCTTTCCACTTCGTCCTTTCCCCTTCCCTTAGCTGGTACTTAATTGGGTTCGCCTTTTTCCCCTTCCACCTGTTGAGTTCCTCTACTTCTCCATCCCTCCTCCCCCACTTTGTCTCATCAACAAAGAAGAACTTGTCCTTCCACCCTTTAATAGAAAAAGGACCTGACGTGAACAAGTTCCTACTCCCACCTTCAGCTACCCGAGGTGGGAAGTAGAACCACCCTTTCTCCTTACCACTTCTTCCCTTAATTAAAAAACAAAATGCTTGAATAAATTCACGGTTGGGATGGCTACACCTTAGGTTTGACAAAAAACTTAAAACCCTACCACTAACCAAACAGCATTTGTGATGAGCTGCGTTAGTCCGAACCGTACTCCTTTAGCAATGCCACTAGTAGCTCCAGAATGGGGAATTTGAGCTTGAATGATAGGTAATGTGTAACACCCCATATACCTTGGTGAATAATTTAAAAATTAGAGTCTTTTATTTTATAGTTCTAGGGATTAAGGTGAGTGGATTTAAAGTTTAGGGGTTGTAAATAGAACTTAGGAGGTGTTGAAGGGCCTTAATTCCATTATTCCAATTATTTTTACCACATGGCACTATACTAACCAATGATTCTTTTCTGGACTTAGATAAGCCTCCAAAAGGCTCCCAAACCCACCACTCCTCTGTATCCTTCCTTCTTCCTGTTTACGCCTTTCTTTCTCCTTGTAGCTTGATGTGGTGCCAAATCTATGATCTCCAACTGAAAATTTTCTTGCAATATTACTACTTTATGCTTTGAGTTTCATAGGGAAGTATAAGTTTTTGCTATGAATTTGAGTTAGAATTTTGGGTACGTTATAAAATTGTCACAATATGTTAGAGCTTAGTTTAAATTAGTGAGATTTGATTTGAAAATCTTAGTTTAAGAGATTTCCTTGGACATCAAAAATTTTGTTAGAAAGATATAACATTTGGGGTTTATACGGGAATAGATCTATGATGAGTTTATTTTCCTACTTTAGTTATTGTAAATTTTATTGATAAATATTGTTGTGGACTTCATATACTTACCTTGTGTGGTGATTTTCTTGCAAATTAATGTGGCAAAATAATTCCCTATGTTTATTTGGAAGTTGTAGTGTTGTCCCTGCTTTGGAAAGGAGATAGTTTGCCCTAATTATTATGATTGTGCTTTGATTACAAATGTTTGGAAAATAAGTTAGTTTCAACTCTTATAAGTGAAATTTACAGTTCAGCATATGATATTTAAAGTGAATTACATTAGAAACGTAACTGATTTTATGAAATACAAATGAAATAATTTTCTGATATTATTTTGGAAACGTTTTGAAATTATTTGACATTTGTATGTGTTGGTAGCTATAGAGTAAGTAGACCTAAGCTTAAAGCTTGGGGTATGCAGTGGACCTTTTGGGGTATTTAGTGGATCTCCGCGCAGTAGGGTGAGTAGCATGATTAGCTCCGGTACAAGTGTTGCTAGCACATATCAATGGACTCCATAGCATTGTGTGATTTTTATTTTATGCCTTATGCTTTTGAGCATATGATTTTATGATTACGATTTGATTTAAATGTCATTGGTTATTCCTTGACATGTGTGATTATGATTTTGGTTATTAAATAATTATTTAAATACTGAGAATTATAATATTATATGGTTTGGTTTAATTGTTATTATGCTCTTCATGTGTATAGGTCTAAGGGTTTTAGGACCCAAGTTTGTAGTTTAAACTTAATACTTATTGGGCTTTTAGCTCAAGATTCCTCCCCCCCCCCCTCCAATTTCAGATTTGTAGACTAGAGTGGCAATCACCAGCTTGGGAGTTTCAGTAGAGGTCCAATATGCTTGTTGTATGTAGAAGTTAGGACCTCGTGCTTTTGATATGGAGGCAGATCAATGTCTTACCAAATGACAATTTGGCTTTTGTTATTTTGAAAAGCTTTTGAGAAGATTTTGCCTCATAATTTTTGTGTAAATTACTTTTATGTATATAATACTTAAATGAACTAAAATGAGTTTAGCCTAACTTATTTTATAACTTTGAGTATTTTGACATGATCTTAAAATATAAATTTATTTTCTTTTGTTGTTTTTCTCTTACAAGTATTTGATTTCTTTCTATAAAGCTTTAAATTGACTTGAATGTAGTGTTTCCTTCTTTTAAGGAAACATTTTCCATTAAAGGTGTTTCTATTTTCGCTGCAATCTTTTACTATAATTTTTAGTTACGAACTCCCCTAGGACTAGGGGTACCTAAGGGAGGTGTGTTACATAATGTGCATACAAAGGCATCCAATGGTCCTTTAGAGTTGAGCAAGCTCACTTTTCATCCCTGGTTGGCCTTACCAACATGTGAGGCAGAATACCATAGTTTTCCACCAAATGGACGAGCTCCCCTCTGCTTCTCCAACATGCCTTATACCCTAGCGCTTCCCCCATTATTTCCCCTCACCATTTATAACATTTTTCCCAACTATCATCAACCTCTAAAATGTTAGTCAGAAGTGTTTCTTCCTCCTTGTCTCCACCTCCACTCTTCTCACTTTTCTCACTTCCAGAAGTCTCTATTTCACTCTTCCACTCAAGCTTAGGCCTTGCACCTCTTCTTCCTCTCCAATACTTATTATTTCTTTGAAAGACATGCCTTCAGTTTTGTAACTCTCACTACAAGGGGTGAGGGGTGGAGAATAATTAGCATCATCTATAATTTCTCTCTCATACTTTACGTTGCTTTTTGATATATACCTAATTTCCCTAACCAGATTTAATCCTAAGTTTAAGCAAGTAACTAAATCAGATAACTCACTTAAATTAGAGATAAAGCTCATGAGTCTTACCTGAACTTACAAAGGCCGAGCTGAAACACTTGAAAGAATTCTTAAGCACTTTAACTTCTCTGATGTTAGAAACTTGAACTCGACAGTCGAAAGCTCAGACAACGAGGTGCTCTGGCATGATTTTGGCAATGCTTCGCTCTAAACTCAACTAGGTATATGTAGAACAACTCAAGAGTTTCTATTTATACCAGGACCCCAGTTCCCCCAACGATCATGATCGCGCGCATCTAACGATTACCAATGCGTCCTTTCAAATTCTATAGTTATTTTGGATTACCCTCTTTTATTACAAGCATGTCACACAACGATAGCTATCAACTAAATAACTCCCAATTACACTCCAAAAGGCTTGTTCAAATTCAACGTAACCATTTTAACTGCCTTTTAAATATATTTACAATTAGCTATTGAATTTTTACTTCGGCTCCGACCATATATTACATGATCACGTGTCATGATATTTTCACTTCGGCTCCAACCACATTACATGACCATGTGTCATGATATTTCCACACTGGCTTAGGCCACATTACATGGTCACATGTCATGACATTCACTTTGGCCCCAGCCATATATTACATGACCACGTGTCACAATATTCCCACCTCGACTCGAGCCATAGCTTCCATACGCAATACACAACTCCCATATCACTCACCAATGAATGACTTTCCAGGGGGGGGGGGGATAGTGTAATGATGGAAGTCCAAAAGTCACATACCTCAAACGAGCTAAGCTATTCAAATGACCTCGAGTTGCCTTGACGTCACTTGGAGTTTGATAAGCTCAATTGATTTCAACCTCGTGTCCTTTCCCTTTTTCTATAGTAACTCCATACATGCACAGATTTCTTAGGAGAGGTTCCTGCGATTATTAACACGTATGATCATGATTATCTGCGGAGAACAACACGTGGACACCTCTCTTGAGGGCTATAAATATCCCCCAAGAGGCCTCCCCTAAAGGTAATTGAAACTGACCTCAAGCCTTCTTTTTCCTTCTTTCTAGCAAACCTAATTATTGCTAATTTAGGCATCAGAGTGTCTTCCCAAAAACCAACCTTAGGGCTTTGCAGGTTAGTTGGAGAGCATATTTGAGCTGAAGGACTGGGAGTTCCTTGCAATTACAACTAGTTATTTTATTTATGTATAAATTTAGATCATAATTGTTAATTTTCAAATTAATTTAATATTTATAGCAATTTGATTAAAAAAATTTTACTTACTAACTCATATGGTGTTAATTTTGGGTAATCAATGAACTAATTATGGAATATATTAGATCTGTTTGAAGATTGACATATATGATTTACTTAAATATAATAGAACAATCACTTTAATTAACAATTTCTCTTGAAAAATATCAATTAATTGAAATATGATAATTTTAGGTTTAAACTGTTAAAAAAGAAAAGAAAAGAAAAAGAAACATATTGTAAAACACATTTTTCATATATATAATATTGAATTTGTATGAAGTCTCACCTTAGCCCTTGTAATCATTAACACAAGACATAATATTGAAGGTTGTTCCCTCATAAACTAGAGCTGAGTGTTGAGAATTCGAGGGATGAGGAATAGTCATAGGGTATTTCTATCTTGTGCCCTAAGAGTGTTTTTATTGTTTTTTTTTTTTTTTTTATCATTAATACATATAATAAAATTAAAAATTGATATTAATATTATTAATTATCTAATAAAAAATATCTATGAATCATAAATGTTAAAATAAATGTTAATTTTTTTTATTTTTTTATATAAATTAATATATAATTAATAATAAAAAAATATAATAAATACATTTTTATCCTATATCCTAAAATATAGGATGAGACAAACCCATAATTATAAAGCATACATGCTGTTGGTTGAACCCTTGCTTATTCAATATTTGAGAATTACGGCGTGAAATAAAAGTGCATTTCAGAAAGATTAAATTTAAAAGGCAAAACAAAAGTGCTTTTCCAAAAAAAAAAAAAAAAAAAAAAAGGCGAAAGTTAAATTACTACTCTCTGCATCTTAGCGTCTTTCTTTTTTAATTAAATATATTTTTGTCC